CAAGTTTCATATATGGTTGTATCACAATTTTCTTTACCTACCTCCTGCTGATGAAATTAATGGCTTACTTTATACTGAGTATGTTTCTTGATGCATTTGTATAGATCTGTTGGGTATAACTCCTGGAGCCTGGAAGCGTAACTGATGGGTTAAAAGGTATAGTATACATTTAATTGTGAATGGACATTGCCTAATTAAGCAAGATGAACTACAACTTCAAATGCTTATAAGCAGCAATGAGAGTATCTCTCATCTTTTCCCATCAAAGACAAAAATAAGTAAGGAGGTCTGGTTGACATTTTAATTGATCCCTTAATAAAGGGACATTTTTTCCACTTGTGAATTACTTATATCTTCTGTTATAATGTGTTGCTGATATACTATTTCTCATAAATTTATCTTAAGGACAGAGTAATTTTACTATAATTTATAAACACTGTTCTAAAACTGGTTATAAAATACTAAAGAAAAATTACTTTATCTGGCAGTTGACTATCCTTTTTAAATGAAATATCAGAGAAACTTAGCACAACATTAAGCATTCTCTACTGGAACTCTGTTACGTTTTCCTTGAGATACTCTAAATCAGCATTTTCCAAATATAAAAGATTCGACTGAATCAATGAATTTCAAACACCAACTCTTAATACCTTTATGAAATAAATTCTTTGTAGGGTGCAAAAGAGAGTAACAAAAAGTCTAAATATACAACAAAAGTGGATGTGTAAATTCTGGTTATGTAAACTATTCCTCCATTATGAAACGAATTCAAATTCTTGAGGGGATGGAGAGGTAGACAGGAAAGCCCAAAGGGTTGTGCCTGTTCAAGGGTAGACCCAATTTGGTTTCCACACAAGAAGTGGATTGTCATGACGTAAGTTAATATATCGGGCTGTTGTTGAGGACAGGCTTGGCTGTGGGTGAGGTTTCAGTGAAGGTAATTCTAGGAAGTCACAGGGCTGATGTCTGTACCATTTTGGGTCAGTCTAATACATCTCTTCTTTCATAACTTTAAGCGTTTTTCTCCTTCATCTTGTAATTTTCATTATTTTTCAACCAGTTATTTATACTAGGGACTACACATAATACTAAAAAGATGTTGCAGTCTATACTTCATTGAGAAATATCTATTTGAAGGAGTTAAATTAAACTAGGATTTCTCCAGGTGGGCACAATCGTTTTGGGAGGGGTGCTGTGCTGTGTACCTGTACTGTAGGACATTTAGCAGTATCCACTGGTTTGTACCTGCTAGGTGTCAGTATCACTGCACTCCCTTCCCAACTGTGAGTTTCAAAAATGTGCAGACGTTGCCTAATGTCCCAAGAGGGTACAGATGCCCTACAGCCACCCAGTTAGGGCCACTGAGTTTAATCGAACTGGCTCTGGTTCATATGCAAGAGTATATTCTAGTGTACTTGCCCGAACTTGCTTATCTTCCTATAATAAAAAATTATATTGGTTAAAAAAAAAAAGGCTATAGAAGAAATTAAAAAATTATGCTGGCAGAGGGAAAAAGTGAAACCTGAACATTTTCAGAAAGTACTTTTTAATGAAAAAATTACCACCAATGTCTTGGACTATCCTTGTGCAGGTCCCAATCCCAGGGCTATTTGCAATTATTACAACTTTTCATCATTACAAATAGTCCAGAGCACCAAGAATTGGCTTCGAATGAGAAATGAAACAGCAAGGAGAAAAATCCTCAAAATTCTGAAAAAGCAGACAATGAAAAAGAGCTTAAAAACCACAAATATACAGAAAAATAATTACAAGTGAAAAACCAGCAACCAAGGACACTGGCCAAATTGTTTCTCATAAGGCAAGATTTGTTAAATTTTCTGTATTTTTTATATCGACCCTTACATGTTTTCTATTTCAAACATTAGTGCAACTAGACTCCATTTATCCAAAATCTGTTACTGCAGACCCCAATTAGGCTTACCCAGGAAAATGAAAATGTGCAAGCATGAAAGAGTACAACACAAGAATTAGAGGAATTTTTCTTAGTAAAGCAAATCCTGAAGGGATTAATAGCAAGATAATTTGTTCTTGCTATCAAATGACATTATACAGATTTAAAAACATATGATCCTTTTAAAAACAATATATTTTTAAATTTGACTAGCATGTCTCAATTTTCCATTAGCAAGATTTAACTTTAAAAGAACATCCAAACTTTTAAACAGTAGATTGTTATGAAATGCTTCTACTTAAAATAATTTGAAATTACAAAAGCTTGACTTTCAAGAGGTAACTTTTTCTCCCAAGATTCTTACCTGTCCATTTTTTATGCAGTCTCACAGGCTTATTAATTATTACTTTGCCCACAGAGATACGGCATAGTACCAGCATGTATCATGCAGTTCCCAGCACTAAGAGAAATCAAGTGTAACAGCACTAATTCTCCGGAGAACACCACTGTATTCACAGAGGGGACCCTCTTGAAGTAGAAGCAAATTCCTGAGGGTGAGCTTGCTTTGGTGCCTCCCAGGCTAAGTTAGTGAGAAACAAATACCAACAGCAAACAAAGCTCAAAAAAAAACCAAACAACAACAAAAAAAAAACCCACAAATTTCAAAATGATGCTGTTAGTATCCAAAAGAAAGGATGACACATCTCCAAGCACTGACCCATACTATCATGCACTGTCTGCTGAGGTTAAAGCCCGGTGCCCGACAGTTAACTACTGCAAGGACTAGCAGTCATCTCACGTGCAACAGGTTTCGCATAGCACCCCTTTTTTCCATGCCACAAAAATGGTAAATTTAGTAGTTACCAATATATAAGTTGGGGTGAAAGGGGCTAAACCTTTAGACTGCTCTTTATCATAAGATATCCTCAGCCAAACCTCCCCATTCTTCATTCTGGCTCTATAAAATCAAGGAGCAGAGAAAAGCCGGTAAGTACCTGACTTTACTGAAAAACAAAACAAAACAAAAACAAACAAAAATGCACTTGAGCGTTTCCTGTCTCATTACACATGTGTGTGTTTATCAAATAAATCTAACTGAATCACCACTCCCCACTCTACCTCCCACCCTGCCTCAGATCTAGCTCAAAACAAATGGGGGGGGGGGGAGGATTCATTCCACGTATTACAAAGAATACTAATTTAATAACCTCAGCATGTTGTGCTTTAATAATTTAGGAAGCAACTGCATCACCAATGGCACATTAGAAGACATGCTTTAAATTACAACAGGGCCTGGCATGGTGGCCTAGTGGCTAAAGTCCTCACCTTAAATGCGCCCGGATCCTATATGGGCGCCGGTTCTAATCCTGGCAGCCCCACTTCCTATCCAGCTCCCTGCCTGTGGCCTGGGAAAGCAGTTGAGGACGGCCCAAAGCCTTGGGATCCTGCACCCGCATGGGAGACCTGGAAGAGCTCCTGGCTCCTGGCTTAGGATAGGCGCAGCACTGGCCGTTGCCCTCACTTGGGGAGTGAATCACTGGATGGAAGATTTTCCTCTCTGTCTTTCCTCCTCTCTATCTGACTTTATAATGAAAATAAATAAATCTTTTTTTGCTGTTGTTGTTAATAACTAAATCTTAAAAAAATTACAACAAATATTAAAACCTGCATAATGGGCCAATTCCTTGGCTTTCCCCCAAATCTAATTATGTATTTATGCAGTCAAATACCAAAAGGAACACAGAATTTGGGCTGCAATTGTTGAAAGTAATCCTCTATCTATAATGTAATGAAACAAAATATCTATATTTAACGAGAATGTCTGATTTTTAGCAATTATTATTCAAATATATATTTATGCTATATTCTTATTATTAGTAGTAATAAGCCAACAGAAAATTGACTTTATGTGACTGTGTCCCTTGTTTGCCTATAAAATGAAGGACTACCTAAATCATGTAACATTTATGCAAACTGGGTAAAAGGAAAAATATAAGAAAATTTTCTGAGAGAGATAAACATTCTTAAGAGTAAAAATGTCTATTTCACTAGCTTAAAACAAAGTAAAATTACTTTGTGATTTCCATATATCCTGAAAGCAACAGACAAGAGTTCACTGTGAGCTATCTTTAGTGTGTAGAAACAGTGAATTAAAGTAGAAGGCCTTACACTAAACAGAAGAATCATGACTCAAAAGATTCAGATTGAAACTAATTAGTTAGAATTTCTGATACAAATTTAAAGCTACATCTACAATTTTGGAAGCAACATCATTTCTCATATCCCAAACCATAAGGCCAAAAGAACTAATATAGATCCAGACATTTTACAAAGTCTATAAGAAATGACTTGAACACATTAATCTACATAACCTGTAAAAATTTCTACTACTGTTAATCTGGGCAGTGCAAATCGCTAATCTGAGAGACCAGCTCCATACAGAAACACCTGCTGGAGAGCTATGAGTTTCTGTGCTATAGGACTGAGGCAAAAAGAAGTTCGTATGTAAAACAACACTGAAAATGCACATATCAAGACAATGCATAAATAGGGCACAGTGGTTAAGGCTCCACAGAGCTCCACAATGAGGCAGATGTGGCTTTGCTGGGTGCTAACCAGCTGCCGGTACACCAGTCCAAAGGAGCTCAGAGTCTCACACATAATTGCTCAGTTAGCATTAGCTAACATGCGTATGTTATTGTCATGATATCTAGAATTTTTTTGGTAGCCATCTGTGCAGTGCTGCTTCTCATTCCACCTTGCATTTTATGAACATAATATTCAACTACTCTCCCAGAGATGTAAGCCTATATCATGTGTAAACATACACACATTTGTTTTAGGAAGGGACACTGGGCTGCACCGCACTGCCTTTGAACGTCTGCAGCTGAAGTGGGCAGAGCAGCGGGAGCCAGGCCTTGCAGTGTACTCTCACGCACTCTCAGGTCACCATCTTGTTTCCTCAAATCTTGAATGTCTAAGAAAAAAGGTCACCCATACAGCTACATAGAAAGCATCTTAAGTTACTACTCAAGCTTGACTTCTGCACAAAACAATGTGAAAGCAGCCAAATATGGGACCAAAGTTCTCTTCTAAAAACAAGAAACTACAGTCACGAGTAGTCCATTTGTTTTTCAAGAAGGATGAAAAGGGATAAGGAACATTTCAAATGGAACTGTGCACCTGTAATGACATTTTTAACCCCTAATACACTAATATTCAATATATGCTATAAGGGAGTATAGCATAATTGTCATATCAAAGTTATAACAATTTCCGATTAACATTTAGAAAAAATAATCTAGGCACAAGTAGATAGATATCATGCCCTAAGCATTATTTTTCTGGGTAGACATTAAATAATTCAAGGCTGAACTTCAATAATGTTGAAAATGTTAAAAGGCTAATATAACTAATCAGCAAATGAAAAACGTGGAGGAAATAGCGGGTTCTGATAGAACAGAATACAGTTCCACAATAGTGAACCATAAAAGTGATCGAAGGAAGGCCCAAATAAGGACACTTCCCAAGTCTTAACCATGGTTTTGACCTAATTGTTAAAATAAAAGTTTGCTTACTGAATAGCAAAATAAAGATATGCTAACTGGAAGGCCAATTTTACAACAGAATGTGAGCTTGTAGTTAACACAGCTGATGTAAAAAAAAATGTAGAAAATGACATGGTTTGTGATTGAGTAAGCATCACTGCAAACCATACACACAAGGAAAAGAGCCTTGCTCATGTCACTTGGTACCAGAGAGGCCAATTAAATACCTCACTTTTGCAGGCACCTTAACTATTATTTCTGGTAATAAGACTAATAAGTGTCAATGTATTCTTTCATATCTAATACCTGTACATTCCAAATCATATCATCTCAACACTGAGCCACTCCCCCAAAATTGATCCTGGTGATGACTCACTCATGAGGGGGTTCCCACAGAGGTAGAAAATTATGAGGGTGAATGGAGAAAGACAAATACTCTTCTCACATATCGCATTCCCCTAACACTTGACATTTCTGTTAAACAAAAATGCTTAAAAAATTACCTTTAAAGTTTCCTTTAATAATTAAACAAGAACAAACTAATAAATATGTAATAAATAAGGGGCTAAAATAAACTAAAAACATAAAACCATGCTTTCAATGTTTCTTGAAAATGAGCCCAAATAAAACCCACTCAAGATCATTCATATATATATATACACACACACACACACACATACTTCACTATCTTAATGAAACTCCTCATGCTACAAGTTTTCTATGTGACTAAAACCATAATTAGCTCTAAAATATAATTCAGTTTAGTAGTCTGGCTTCTAAAAGCCAGACTTATCTATGAAATTTTAAACTTCACTAATAGATAACACACACATCACACAGAAAAGCAGCACACAATGTTACATGGAAAGGGAAAAGGGTTATTACAGTTCTGGGGATACAGAAGGAAGTCAAGAATGGGGAAGTTTTGACTGAACATGGTTTGTTATTTAAGAATAAGAGAAACAAGCACTTGGCTACTTTGGCTAATACAAAACTAGAGGATTCTAAAAAAACATGTAACTGGAAAATAGGATCGATTTGTTTGGCTCCATTTGTACTTAATGGGCATGAGAAAACATGAACCAATTTGGAATAAAACACCCTAAAATCATAGTCAACTCTTGATTACGCCACACTAATGAAAAGGGGGTTGTGTTATGTAATTCAAAACAAACCACGGATGGAGCATTCTTAGCTGTTACTTTTGGCCAATCTTTTCCTTTCTTTCTTCTAACACTATAGACTTTAGTAATTTGGGGGTCCAAAACAAGCCGACAAGAAGAGGTTTGACTGGCAGACCATCTCCAAAGTGAACCATGCATCCACAGATGACTGAGCTGTGATGCCACCACCACATATTCCAACCAATAAACCACGGGAGGAAAGACACTACAGGCAAAGCTGCAAGTGTCGCCACGAGGGCAGATTCCCTCTGTGAAGCACAACATGCGAGCAGCTGGCCAAGAGGAGCAGCTTACCTCCTGCAGTAGATCAGCCTGCTCAATGGCTTTAAGGACATTTTTCTTGGATGTTTCTTGAACTTCTCCTCCCAAAAGAAACTCATCCAAAATAAAGTAAGCCTTCTCAAAATTGAAGATAATATCAAGTTCACACACCTGAAAAGCAAGCAAGCAAACAAAACCCCACAAAGACCCACTGTTAAAACTTAGAAAAGCTGGTTATTTTTGTTTGTTTGTTTTGCTTTGTTTTAAGATTTACTTCCTTGAAAGGCACTGTTGCAGAGATGGAGAAGAGAGCATGCTATTTTTCATCTGTTGGCTCCCTCCCCAAATGGCTACAACAGTTGCGCTTGGGCTGGGCTAAAGTCAGGAGCTTCCTCAGGACTCTCCTGTGGGTACAGAAGGTGTGCAGCAGGCGGGAGCTGAGCGGAAGAGAAGCTGCCGGGATGGGAGCAGGCCCCCAGTGGGATCCAGCATTTCAGGCAGTGATGCTTGAGCTCATTACAAAACAACATCAGCTCTGAAGCTAACAAATCTCAATCAGTATCATAAGGAAGTGAACAAAACCTGACCAGACTGAATCCATCTTAATTCTAAGAAAAAAAAAAAAAAGGGGCCATCATGCTAACTGAATGTCATTGATTTATATTAAGCTACATTTTCAGATTTCAAGAACTTGAAAATATAATGCCTACAGGGTACACAAGATGTGGGTCTTCAGGTTCCTAATAACTTTCTACTCATCAATCTGATACTTAAATATATTTTCTGTGTAATGTGAGCTCAACTGTTAACCAAATCTAACTTCTACATTGAGTACTTTCTGAATTGTAATGTTTGTACTTGAATTCCTTTCTATTTCACTATTTTGAACTTCATTCTTCTCATTTTAATAAAACAAGGTCTACAGGACAATTCTAGAAGTTTCCAACTAGCTCCACTGACAAGAAATAGCATCATTCTGGATTTCTTCCACATTTAGAATGCCCAAGGCAGCCAAATAAACCTGTTTTTAAAAGGTGTTAAAAAGGAATAAAACAAAAACAAAAGACCATGGCATTTGGGGCCAGTGTGCTGATGTAGCATGCTAATCCTCTACCTATGGTGCTGGCATTCCAAAGGAGCACTGGTTCATGTCCCAGCTGTTCTACTTCAGATCCAGCTCCCTACTTCTGTCCTGGGAAAGCAGCAAAAGATGGCCCAAGTGCTTAGGTCCCTGCGCCGAAGTGGGAGACCTGCAAGAGGCTCCTGGCTCCCAGCCTGAGATCAGCCCAGCTCTGACTGTTGCAGCCATTTAGGAGACAGTAGATGGAAGATCTTTCTCTGTGTGTCTTTCCTTCTCTCTGTAACTTTACTTTTCAAATAAAACTAAATAAATCTTAAAAAAAAGAGATGACATTCCATTTTTTGAAATAAAATGTACTCACGCTGCCAAAATACTTGTCAAGTAACTCCACATAGCGATGAATTATTTCCAGGGTAATGAGCTCATTGTCCTGGTCCTCAATGGCACAGCAGAAATACAGACTTGCGTACCTGAAGCAAACAAACAATGTGCAAATGTCTGGGATCATGTTTTCTAGATATAGCTTTGAAGCCTATCATGCCAGACCCCATGCTATAAGCACGCTTGGATACTCTATACTTCTCCTAGACTGCAAGTGCAGTCAATGCATAAACACGCTGAAAGGCATTTGCAAGCAAAAGAGCACGATACTACTCCTTTGCACTGCTTAGAAATGGTAAAGGATTTCCTTCTTCCTGTTACACAGCTCCCTTCTATGAACATTGGAAAACACAGCAAACTCAGAGTTTCCTTAAATTTATCAATTAAAAGAGAATGTATTGTGTGACTAATTAAAAGTGTAAGTAAATCTGCTAATGACTTACTAAAGATATTATTAACAAGAGGTTCATGTTTTGAAACATTTTATTGAAGTGTAACATATACAGAGAGAAAATCTTAAGACAAAAGGTCAATTCATCTCCTTTTTCAAAACAGCGGCTTTATTTTCATTTGAAAGGATCAATTACAGAGGAGAGACAGAGAATCTCCATCGACTGGTTCACTCCCCAAGTGGTCCCAACAGCCAGAGCTGAACTGAACCAATTTGAAGCCAGGAGCTTTCCAGGTCTCCCACACAGGTGCAGAGTCTCAAGGCTTTGGGCTGTCTTTACTGCTTTCCCAGACCTCAGGCAGGGAGCTGGAAGGGAAGTGGAGCAGCTGGGACATGAACTGGCATCCATATGGGATCCCAGCACATGCAAAGTGAGAACAGGCTATCATGCCAGCCCCAAGAATTGTTTCTAATAAGGTTTTTAGGATTGTGGAGTAACTCCTGCATCCCTCAAAGGAAAATAGCTCCAGGTTATCATAGAAGTCAGAGACAGAACAGAAAGTTCTTATCATTTGTGGGAAACTGCAATCTAGCCTCAAATGTTTTAAGTCCTATGGTATTAAAGTGAAGTGTGGGCTATTCGCCTAAATAGGATGTTATTTCTAACAGAAGGAAGAAAGTAGGAGACTCCTATCATCCTATTTATTAGGATTCTAGTACATGAGAAGCCAAACTTGTTAATGAGCAAACTTGTGACATAGCAAGTCCTTTGGGAAAGACTATTTTTCAATGGGTTAAGAACAGATAAGATTTTTGAAAAGAACAAAAAATAAAAACCCAAGACATTCTTAGTCTCAATCGAAATTGTTCATTTTCACTGTGGAACACTTAGATGATTTTTTAAAAAACATAGCATAATTACTGATCACAGCATTAATGCAAAAATAATACCCAGGAAAACATATACAACCTGAATTTTAGCATTAAATTCCTATTCAATGGTATTAAAATAACTACTAACACTACTAATTTCAATCTTAGAAAAAAACAGATTTTTATTTGATTCTTCGACAGCAAATACTATCATCCTTAATGATAAATTAAAAAGCAAAAAACCAAAACTCAGCCAGGCCCAAGAAGAGAGGGCCTGCGAACGGCGCAGGACCGGGGCGGCTCTCAACGTGAGCTCCAGACCTCTCCCTGGCACACCGTCTGTTTTTGCATATCCGTTCCACCTGACTTCCATATTCTCTAATTATTATTTTTTTTTTTTTAATTTATTTTATTTTTATTGGAAAGGTGGATATACAGAGAGGAGAGACAGAGAGGAAGATCTTCCGTCTGATGATTCACTCCCCAAGTGAGCGCAACGGGCTGATGCTATGCCGATCCGAAGCCAGGAGCCTCTTCCGGGTCTCCCACGCGGGTGCAGGGTCCCAAAGCTTTGGGCCATCCTCGACTGCTTTCCCGGGCCACAGGCAGGGAGCTGGAAGGGAAGTGGGGCTGCTGGGATTAGAACCAGCGCCCATATGGGATCCCGGGCGTGCAAGGCGAGGACCTTAACCACTGCGCCATCGTGCCGGGCCCTCTAATTATTTAAAATGGAGAATCTTCTGCACTTTTATAAAGTTGGGATTTTAATGTGCTCATTAATCACTGGGAGAAGAATAGTTCCTGGAAGGCGTGCCAGAGCACTTGCCTCGCCTCCGACTTGAACGAGTGTGTCTTCTCTCACTTCACTATCTTGCTTTCAAATGTTTAGAAAGCAATGAGCTACAACTCTCCTTCCACTCTGCTTACCAATATATATGATTTTGAATTTGGAGAAATTAACACAAATTATACACACAATGCCTTCGATTATGAAAACTAAAAGATTAAAAATGATATTTTCAAAACCAAATATGAGGACTAGCCAGTACCAACCAAATACTAAGTTTGTTAAATGCTTTAAATGAAATTTTCAAAACTTCAATGCTACAGTTTAACAATTTAATATTTATACGGTCTCACTTATTATGCATAGTACTCCATGTTCATTTAAAAATAAATAAAGAAATATATCATAAAATGATAATAATAATAAAAGTTAAAAAAAAATTATTGGAACTGGCAAGGTGGAACAGCATGCTAGCCCTCCTCCTAGGGACCAGATCCCACATGAGGTCCAGTTTGTGTCTCAAGACACTCCAACTCTGATCTGCATATGGCCCAAGAAAGCAGCAAAAGTTGGCTCAAGTCCTTGGGCCCCTGCACCCATGTAAGAGACTAGGAAGAAGCTCCTGGCTCCAGGCTCTTGGCTTCGGATCAGCTCAGCTCAGCTCCAGCCATTATGCTCATCTGCACAGTATCCAGCAGATGGAATATCTTTGTCTCCCCTCTCTGTAAATCTGCCTTTCACATAATAATAAATCTTAAAACAAAACAAAGCAGTACTTAGGGTAGGCTTTTAGTATAGCAGTTATATTGTCACCCAACGTGAGAGTGCCGGTCTACTCTGCATGTGACCCAGCTTCTGGCTGATGCAGCCTGGGTGCCAGCATATCTGTGTCCTGCCACTCCCACGGGGGACCTGGATGAAGACCTGGCCTTGCTCTAGCCCAGTCTTAACCATCACAGGCATCAGGGGAGTGGACCAGTGGGTAGATGATCTCTGTCTCTTTGCCTTCCAAATAAAACAAAAAAAGCAAACAAACAAATAAAACGGTACTTTAAACATCAGTCAAAGGTTCTAACTTGTACAAATCATTTGAAAGCTTTAATTAGTTTTATATTTTTCAGTTTCTAGTGAAAAGGCAGATTTACAGAAAACAAAGACAGAAAGATCTTCCAGGTGCTGGTTCATTGCCCAAACGGCCACAACAGTTGGAGCTGGACAGATCTGAAACAGAAGCCAGAAGCCAGAAGCCTCCTCCGAGTCTCTTATGTGAGTTCAGGGTCTCAAGGCTTGGGTCATCCTCTATTACTTTCTCAGGCCATTAGCAGGGAGCTGGATCTGAGTGGAGTAGCTGGGCCACGAACCAGTGCCCATTTGGTATCTTGGTGCCATAGGAAGAGGCTTAGTGTACTATGCCATGGTGTCGGTCCTGGGGGCATTAATGTAAAAACCATGAGGAACCATGTGTCTAAGTAGCAATGAGTAACATTAAACAAAACCCAAACAACCTCAATGCTATCCAAATATTTACTTTAGCTCAAAATGCAACAGTCATCAAATTAGACTATTTTCTTATAGGTGAACAGAGAGTTGTCCTGATGATGGAAGGAAGCGCTCCAAGTGACACACTAAATGTTAGCTAAGGCTTCTGCATGGTTTTTTATTTTACTCCTCCAAACAACTCTGACAGATAGCATTTTCCCCCTGTTTATAGGAGAGCCAGGCTTGAGTTACCTGCCTAGCAAAAGCAATTAGTTTCACAGCCTAAGTTTTAAATAAAAGACCATAGCCAGCAACTGTATTAAAAAATTAAATTGTGATGAAAGCAGTATTTTAAGAGTTTTGAGGGGCCCAGCGTGGTGGCCTAGTGGCTAAAGTCCTTGCCTTGAAAGCGCCGAGATCCCATATGGGCGCTGGTTCTAATCCCGGCAGCTCCACTTCCCATCCAGCTCTCTGCTTGTGCCCTGGGAAAGAAGTCGAGAACAGCCTAAAGCCTTGGGACCCTGCACACGTGTGGGAGACCCAGAGAAGGTTCCTGGCTCCTGGCTTCGGATCGGCGCAGCACCAGCCATTGTGGTCACTTGGGGAGTGAATCATCAGACAGAAGATCTTCCTCTCTCTCTCTTTCCTCCTTTCTGTATATCTGACTTAGCAATAAAAACAAATGAATCTTTTAAAAATATAATTTAAAAAAAAAGGTTACCAAGAGAACCTGGGGTTATGCACCCTATTTTTAAGACTAAATGTTTTTTTAAAATTGGAGAATGAAAAAAAAAATGAAAAAAAATAAAAAAAAAATAAAAAATAAAAAAAAATAAAAAAAAAATAAAATTGGAGAATGGACTCATTTTGTTCTTATAGTACATATTTGTAAGTCTAAACTGAAATAAAATTAATAATAGACTAGTAAGAAGAAAGGTACGTTTGGTTATTTTTAGTGCAGTGGATTAAGCCTGACTCTAATTACCGGCAGGCAGAGAGAAGCTGGAAGTGTCTATTCTTATATTGCAAACATGTGACTCTCTGCAGTCAGCTAAATATCAGCTGACGTGGGTAAATGTTGCTAAACTGTTCTCTTTGACAAATCCTAAGCTAGTAATGTTCAAATACATGTATTCATGCATTCATTTTAAGACTTTAATCCAGTGTCTGTTACATAAAATACAGCCCAAAATAGGAATTTAAAAAGTCATACAAGGTTCTATCCTTAACCAATCTTCCAGAACATGTTATTTCAGACAGCATGAACCAGTGGGAAAGCAACTTGTTCAAAGTCACAGCATTAGCTAATGTCGCAAGTGGAACCGAGCTTTAGTCTTCCCAGCTCTATCAAGCATGTCCCCACCTCTCCCCCCCAAGAGGGGGAATCTGTGTGCTAAATATTTAGGATGAAGATGACGAAAGAGATGACGAAAACATTTGCTGATGTGCTCTCTCCGAATTTCTCAAGAGCTAAGCACGAACACCCACTCCTCAAAGTTCTCTTCCAGCTAGTAAAGGAAAAAGAAATCAATCACAAACCCCCCAAATCTACTTGAGACTGTGGACGCAGCCTGGGGCTGTGCCGCTGCAGCCCCTGCCCCAGCTCTGCTTCCAGATTTCGGCTAATGGACAGCCGGCAGGCAGCGAGGGAGGCGTCAGGTGGCCGTGCACCGCCGGCCCACGGCAGAGCCAGCTGAAGCTCCTGGCTCCTGGCTTGGATCTGCCCAGCCCTGGCTGTTGTGGTTCATTCATGTAATGAACCAATAAACGGGACATCTCTCTCTCTTGCCTTGTCTTTTAAGCAATTTAAATAAATAAAATGTTAAAAAAAATTCCTTTAAATGCTACAATACATGAATATTTTCAGTATAAGACGAGAAGTATAGAAAAACAAACAAAAAATTCCACCTTTGTACATCAATGTATTTCACTAAAGCTGTTACATGTTTATGCTACCTTCACTGGAAGGCACTTTGATGTATGTATTAAGCTACTCCTTTATAGATGTTAAAAGAAACTGTGGGGGGAGCGCGGAGGAGGTCCCATAGCATAGCAGACTAAGCTTCTGCTTGCAGTGCTGGCATCCCATATGGGTGCCAGTTCATATCCCAGCTGTTCCACTTCTCATTCAGCTCCCCGCTTGTGGCCTGGGAAAGCACTGGAGCACGGCTCAAAGCCTCTGGACCCTGCACTAACATGGGAGACCCGCAGGAAAATCGTGGCCTCGGAGCAGCTCAGCTCTGGCTGAGTGAAGCAGTGGATGCAAGGTCTCTTTTTCTCTGTCAAATAAAGAGGAGAGGAGAGGAGAGCAGAGGAGAGGAGAGGAGAGGAGAGGAGAGGGGAGAGAAGGGGAGGGAAGGGGAGAGAGAAGAGAGAGAAGAGAGAGAGAGAGAGAGGGAGGGAGGGAACAGTGGCAGAGCGATACGGGCCAGGCTGGGCGGTGTGTTCAGGAACATCAAGTAATGCTCTCCTTTCTTCCCATTAACAGCTCATTCTTAGGACGGAATCACTTGCTGGTATTTTCCTTCTCCACACGGGGGACTCCTTTCCCTACCTAGAAATAAGTTTACGCTTCTCCAACCTTTTTATTTTTCAAACCTTCTCCCCTACTGCTCCGTGTATGGACGGTGACTGCCTCTTCTGCCCAGCACAGCAAAGCTTCCCAAAGCAGTCCACAGACACTATTCAAATTTCTGATTTCACACTTTGTAATGGGTTACACAGAGTTTTATTATCTCCGAGAAAATGTGGCGAAGGTATGAAACGCTCATTGTAAAATCTACTGAGTTCTTTCTTGGCTTACACTGAGTGAATTAACCCTTGAAAGTCTCTGCTTCCCCTGACGTTACTGACTAGAACTTAGGCTCTCTGGGTCTCATTCCACTGTGGGGGTCCTTCCTTAATCTCTCGTAGAATGCTGGTGCTCTCCATGCCCACCAAATCCCATCAGAAAACAAAAGCCACACAGATATCCCAAAGTCAGCGTGTTCCCCAAAGCCTGCATTGTCTATCAACCTGTTAGCCAAACCAGGAGTACGGAAATCACCACTCTTCCCTTCCCTTTCCTTTCTGCTTCTAGCAGTGAGCACATCTTCCAAAACACACCTGTTCAACAGCTCTCCTGTCCGCTGCGCAGGCCCTCTGTAACGTGTCATCCCTACTGGAGCCGCAGGGGTTGGTCTCATCCCACTTGTCCCCCATTAACCATCCTGTTTCTACCTTTAAGAAAAAGCAAGTCTTTTTTGACCACTGCTGGATGCTTCAGCTCTGGGTTGTAGTCCATCTCTAATATGCATATTATCTTGACAAGTCATTTCTCTCAAACTATCATTGTTCATAAAACTGAGGGTTCATCAACAAAAATGGTTTTCAAATTCAGAATCCGTCTCCTGTTCAAAGCATAGAAGGACTCTCACTCCTGATGCCACACCAGTACCTGCACTGGCACTTGTTTTTTTCAAAGCATTTGATGAATTATTCTAAAGACATCCTCCAGCTCTCAAATGCTAGGACGTTTCCATGATTTTTCCAACAAGTACTAAACAAGGTCCTAGATACAAAATCACCCAGAAGTGGCTAAATCCCTTCTATAATAAAAGGGGAGTCTCCAGCAGTTAAGAAACGCTTTCTGCCTCCAAAATTCCCTTTTCTCTGCCTCTGCGTGGCCACACCTCCTGAACAAACAAGCCCATCCTCTGGAGTGCAATACAGGAGAGCTGAGAAGAGCAGACCTCCTTGGCCATTTTGCATCTCCAACGGTTAGCTACCTGCGCGCTCAAATACACGGGAACTGTTTATATGCAGAAATGCTCTTACCTTTAACTCAGTAAATTATTATAAAGGGTACATAAATAGGGAAGAAACAAAAGTGTTCCTTCAAGAATGTTTGGTAGAAAGAGAAGTTATATTTCATTTAGTCTGCTTTCAATAACCTTGACGTTTCTTTTAAGGTGTCAAAGAGTTTCATAAAGATACACGAAAGGCAATCTATGAGTCATTCCACAACACACAAGTTAAAAAAAATCTCTTTGCAAAACGATCTGTCATACCTACTCACATCACCACCACAGCAACAAGTGCACTTGGAACAGCCGCTACTTAAAAGCAGATGGCTTCTCTGCAAAGTCTGTACACGTCTGTATGATTGAAGAGGTGCCCGGGAGGTTCTCAAAGTCAGACAAAAGGCATGTCAAACATCAGTTATTCCTCTACGGAGTTGCAGGGAAAGGGCGTAGCGAGCTGCTAGATAGCCCTGCTTTTCTAAAGTCAGAGATAGCTACAATCCTGACCCTACTCACCCCTGCAATGAAGCGAACTGAGTTTTTCCAAAGATGATAAATCATGAACAATCATTTCTCTCCACACAATCCGTTTGAACATGATTTCCGCACTTTTATCATGTTCGCCTGGACATTCCATCTAAACAGCAGTTATTTTTAAAATGCTTTATTAAATCTTTATTAACCATTGTTTCTAAATGTCATCATGAAAAATCTGCCATTTCCATATAATAAATGACCTAACATTTGATCCTCTTATTTCATATTCTGATAGACAAGAACTATACCTTTTATAAACAATCTTCAGATCTCGCCACTCCAGAAAGCTGCACATTTTCGGCTTCCGTGCTAAGACGGTCTGAACAAGTTCCCTTGTGATCTTTTTCTTCTCCTTGTCTGACAGTGGCACATACCATTTCTGCAGTCGAAGTTTCCCCTGACGACTAAAAAGCAACATAAACTGCATCTGTTAAAACAAGCAAAGTCAAAATTATGTGAGGTACCTGCAGTCAACACAGTAAGATTCATATTTTAGCTTTTTCAGAAAAACTTAGGGAATGGGAATCTGATATTCGGCAGCCATCAATATTTTGATGTTGGATAAACCAGCAGGAAATTCCTTTAGAAAGGTCTCTTTCCTTTAAAAGTCTTTTAGTGAGCTCCCTTGCCACCTCATTGTGGTCCCATGTAAGTTTGGAGAGGAAGAACTGGGGGAAAAACGAAAACCAGGAATACTGGTAGTGAAATTTTTAAAGCAAAAGCTACCCCTTGTGATGTGGGGGCTAGTTGCTACCTGTGTCCGTACGTCACACACATCCTAGACGCGTGCAAACAGAACTGTAGACATCAATTAGTTTAGGTACATTTGCAATGAACAGGAAAGCCAGCATTTTGCAGCCCCAGGCTGTCCCAGTCCCAGGGTGATACTCTCTTCCATTTACGGTAGCACACTGTAAGAAAACTGGAAGAAGCTAAAATATTTGCCCAAAAAAGAGGATTCCACAAAAAGCTTTTCTTAATAAAACATCTAATGTCTTAGTTATCTCTTATGTCATTTTAAAGTACTGACATAGTTAGGAACCGATCTGATGTAGTGTTGTGAAAAACAAAGCTTTAAAGGATTAAAATAGGAGTTCTATATATTCAGGGTTATTGTATGAAAAACTACATTTCACACAATAAAAATAGCATTTACTGATGGAATGGATACCGAATTCTAGTGCATTTTAGATGTAAGTTGATTTGTATATCCTGATTTGGGATGTTTTGAGCCAAGCTTACTGTCCGTGGCCTGCTCGGCTGCAAGCAGGACTGCGCCAGGTCTTGCGCTTTCTCTTAACCACGGCAAGGAAGGTTGCACTCCGACTTCCTGTTCAACGCACCATCTCCAACACGGGGGGGGGGGGGGGATTTACACAACCAAGACAGAACAGACTGAGCCTCAAATGTCTATATGAAATTATGCGATACGACATCCTAGTAGTGCAAAATGGCATCAACAAGATATCTGGAAATTTCTGACAGGATCATTTCAACTTTATTAAACTTACAGCTGCTTAGTGTTTTTTTAACATGCTTCAGCGGCACAAAAGCCACAGACATCACTCAGAGATGTCCAAGTGCCTCTGTGTGAGTTGTGAAATCGGCTGCACAAGGGGCAGCAGGTGTGAAGCTGCCAGAGGGCATTTAAAGCAAATCCGTTAGCAGAAGTTGGAAAAGAATGAGGCTTGCTTTCCTAGGTCTCGGTGGCGGTCAGCAGGGGTGGGGGTTTGCTCGCCTAAGAGAGGATGGGCTTAAGGTTGTCTGTAGGAGGGTCCTGTGGCCGCCCTACCGCTTTGTAAGAGAACCACACAACGCATTCTCTGTAAATCAATTATGTAGTAATACGGGACGAAATTCGGTTGCAAGGTCCAAGTACCGTTTCTGTCTTACTAAACACGAACGCTTTGATTTTTGCGGCAAATCTCGGGGCCCCACAATTTGAGAAACGGGTGTTAAAAAACAATGGAGTCAGCCTCCGAGGCGGTTCGGGGGCAGCTTTCCTTGAGTGCCGCCGTCTGTGGGCTACCCTCCATCACTGACCCAGCCCGAGCGAGGTGACGGGCTAGGAGCCAAGCAGCGGAGCAGACAATGGCATCCGCCGCCGCGCAGGGGGGCGCCAAGAGTTCTCGCCTGCCGTGGGCCACGGCCGCCGGCCCCTCCCTAAAACGCCCCGCAAAACTTAGACGGTTCCCGAACCACAGGTGCCGCGGCGCCCCGGCGGAGCCCCGGACTGGACCCCGCACTGCCAGGCGCCGCGCCGCGGCGGGGAAGGGGCCGGCGTGGCAAGAAGTGAGTCCCGGGCGCGGCGCGCAGGTGGCGGGTCGGCGGGGCTCGGGTGGGGTCGTGGGAGCGCGCGCGGGGCGCGACCGGCCATCCCGCCCCTCAGCATCCCCCGCTCGCCCGCTCGCCCTCGGGACTTACGGCGGCCGCGGGCCGCGGGCGCGGCGGGGCTCGGCCGGAGGCGGCGACGGCGGCGGCGGGGAAGCCCCTGTCTTCGCGGCGAGCGGGAGACGCCGTGTTGCTGCGGGGAGGGGACCCAGTTGTCGGCTAGCCGGCTGAGGCGGCGAGGGGAGGGCGAGCCCGCAGACTCCGCCCCGGGGGCCGGCCGAGGGAGGAGCCGGGGCTGCGGCTGCCGGAGAGGCGGGCTGGCGGCGCGCGGGAAACGGCCCCGCGGCAGCAACGGCAACCGGAGGCCGCGCAGGAACCGCGAGCTCCCTGCAACGCGATTGGCCGTTTCTGCACGAGAGGAGTGGTGTGAAGCGGAAGTCGGGCCGCGGCACCCGGAAGCGGCTTCGGCCGCAGCCAACGCGCCTGCGTGCTCTGCCTGGCGCCTGCGGGACGCGAGCGGGTGGCTAGCCCAGCGGTTTGAAGGGACCGGAGGACGTGGTGCCGCGGCGACCTTAGGCGACCCCGTGGTGCGGGGCAGAGCAGTTCCGGAACGCCAAGAGCCAACTTCGGGCTCCCATGACTCTGCGTGCCCCAGGAGGATGGGCTGGGGAGGTGTGACGGCCTGTGATGCTGGTGGGAGGAGAAAGGCAGTGCCGCAAGCGTGGGGGAAACAAGTCAGCTCTTTGGAGCCCTTGCGGGCGGCCGCAGGGCCGTGTGCCAGGTAGACCGCCCTTCCCTGCCGTCGCACCGTGACAGCCCTAAGCCAAGGCGCTTTTGTCACGAGCGTCGCATCCTGGTCTCGTGCTTGCACCCTGGTCTCAGGGCTGCGGACTGGATGACTTACTGCCCGTCCTCGGTGAAAAGCCGAGACAGCGCCTCGCCTTGGACATCCCGCTGTCTTCCCGCGGGATCGGCCCCAGCAGCCGCCTGGCTGTAGCCTTGCCTACGACTTGCTCTGCTTGACATGCCCTTCCTCTCAAATGTCACATCTTTGAAGCCTCACCCTAGAATCTTGTAAGAACCAATACCTTCTTTCACCCACATGTCCATTCGCCTCTGTGTAGCACATCTTGAATTTGTTCATTTTGCATTCCAGTTTAGTTCACTGCTGGTGTAGAACACGACTGTAAAGTCTGAAACGAGATGTGATGCTGAGCATGGTGCCGGCCATGGGACGAGTGTGCGTGCTTGGTGCTGGCGTGATGCAATGAGTGAATCAGCTAGTCCGAGTCATCTTTTATGGATAAGGAAAGGGGAGCCCCACGGGAGTTCGTGACCTTGCTTGAATAGCCACGGGTTTCCCTTGTGGAATGCTTTGCGTTACCCCAGTTAGCAGGTTCCTACAAAGGAACTTAGAAAATTGCTTCTGTTCGGCCATGCCCTTTCTGCAGAGGTTCCTGAACGTACTTGCCTTCCTTTTCTTTTTTTTTCTTTTAAAACGACCCAAAGTAAGAAATGCTCAACTTTCAGGATGCTGAATTCAAATGAATTTAAAGGAACCCTTTATTGCAGATGATGTTATGTAAGAGTGTGTGTGTGTGTGTGTAAGCGCACGCGTGTAGATTGTATGGGGGTGTGAGTTAAGATCAACATAAAACTAAAGTGGAAAATAGATTTTGCGCCATTGTAAAATGCCTTTATTTGGCAAAATTAAAAATGCATACTACCTTTCCATTTCAGTATTACTGTACCTCTTGGAAAATTTCCTGTTGCTACGTATGCTGAATGGACACTGGCATATTAAAACGGCTTGCCAGAAAGCACAGAGCTGCCTTCCTATGGTTCTTTAGGCCCCTCCCCAAATCTCTCCTGCTCGCTGCCCGAACATGCCCCATGGTGCTTGCTGAGTCCCATTTCTCCCTTGCTGCTTGAGACAGATGCCATTAAACCAGTTCAAAGCTAGCTCTAATCCCATGCAATGAAAAGTGGCCCCCTGAGGACAAATGCTGCCTTTCTATTTTCTGTACAAAGCCTCTGCATACTCCACCTTCCTGAGATACTGGTCTCCAAATTTAAACTCACTGCTTGTGCACCTGATGTTGGTGTAAATAGCTCTGAAAATGAGGGCCAAGGACTAGTTGATGACATATTGGCAGTTTCCTCTCTGTGTTCCTAGTTAAATAAAAAAAAAAGTGGGGGCAGGGAGAAGAAGGAATTATGGGAAAAATAATTAGCAGCTGAAAGCAGCTATTACATAATCTTGGTTGCCTATTAATTTAGCAGAAGGAATGGCTTATTAAATTCTAATAGCAACAGCACAACTGCAAACAACCTAGCAATTAACAGTGCAGGGCCCATTGTTTTGTTAATACGGTCTCTTCTTTTGGCAAGTGTATGAGAACAAAATTTACAGAAGCAGATGGTCTTTTTCAGTAGATTATAGATGGTTTATTCCCCAGTCTTAGTATTGAGTGTTAATTGTGTATTCGCTGTGGAAGACAAAGGAAACACGGTTGCCATCTTTGTTAGTAATTAAGTGCTTAACTTTGGTTCCTGCAGTTTCCAAATTGTAGGCTTTATTATAGGCATGTTTTTCTCACCTAGTATCTTTTCATCTGTCATGTCAATAGGGTATTTTTTTACTCCTTGGTTTTTCTTTTCTGGATGATCCTAACTTCTTGATGCTAAAAATAATACAAAAATTATGATAGAAAAAATAATAATACAGATTTCTATTTAAAAATCGGAAATAACATTTTATTCTTGTTTTTAAATGTTAAAAATGGCTTGTAGTGTCATTTATGCTAAACACGGAAGTGAAGGTGAAATTGGCCTTCTGCCTTGTAACAGTCATTCCAAAATGGCTAAAAGGCATCTTAGTCTCCTGCTGAAGGTGCGATGGCCACATGTTATTCTCTCTCTCAAATCACCATTCAGTGGAAAAGGGGAGAAAGTAAAGTCTAAAACGTGCCCACAAGCACAATGAGGAGGAGACATTGTCATGGGGATGTCAGTAAAGAGGTCGGGATACACTGTCAACTCATGATTTAGAAAAAAATGTAATATAAAGAATAAGGAGAAGCAAAAGTGAAGGGGAAGCAGAATCAATGTAAATCCTTGCATTTGTCTAACAGGAGGCATCTAGATAGCATCTAAAAGAATCAGAAGCTAACGAGGCTTAACGAGGCTTGTGGAGTTTAGGTAAAAGGGGCCCTGGGGTGCCAGCAGAGAGTCAGGGATGAGCAGAAGTTGCTTTGTTAGAGGATATTTAGGAGACTTCATCCTACAACATTCTCAGAGGGGACAGGATGACCACAAAGAAAAAGGGGGATATGGGCCCAGCACAGTGGCCTATCGGCTAAAGTCCTCACCTTGAACGTTTCCGGGATCCCATATGGGCGCCTGTTCTAATCCTGGCTGCTCCACTTTCCATCCAGCTCCCTGCTTGTGCCCTGGGAAAGCAGTGGAGGACGGCCCAATGCTTTGGGACCCTGCACCCCTGTGGGAGACCTGAAGGAAGTTTCTGGCTCCTGGCTTAGGCTTGGCGCCTCACCGTCCATTGTGGTCACTTTGGGAGCGAATCATCAGACGGAAGATCTTTCTCTATGTCTTTCCTCCTCTAGGTATATCTGACTTGCCAATAAAAATAAATAAAATTTAAAAAAAAATGGGTTAAACCTGAGAAACTGGGCTAATTTAGACTTGTTAGCATAGGATGCAGAAAAATGTTTTGCAAGCAGGAAGGGTTCCCCAATTCCTCATTTTCTATATCGTGGATACTCCTCTACCCCTAGCAAACTGCTTCTTGAGGTGGCATTTTCTTTAGGGAACTAGGCCTTCCCACTGTCCTGTGTTGTCTTCTGAGCAGCTTTGGCTTGAGGCTGATTACTTGGTGACATGCCAAGGAAAGAGGTCCTTTGAATTTGGGACCATTGGCAAACCCATTAGATACCAAATAGTCGATTCCAGAAGCAGTTGGAATCACCAGTTTCTTTCCAGGTACTGAATCTTGTGGGGAGATGTAATAAAAAGGCTACTATTTTAATTTACATTTTACTTGTATAATATTTAAAAATACAGTAATGAAACAAATTTTAAAAGCCATTCAATTAGTTGCTAGCTATGATGGACTGATGCCCAATAATGAAATTCAGCAGAATTGGTGTAGAAAATCACAATATGTCTACAAAAGATGTTGAGTTCATGAATTTGCATCCCCAAAGATAAAGTTCCAATGAGAAAATTAATCTAAAATAATGATCTTTTAACCAGATAATTTCAAAATAGATAAAGCTGTCTGCCAAACTCCTCAACAATAAGCTAAGAGAAATATGGAACACACGTTTCTCCTTAAGCCTATTTCTATAGCTTTGAATAAAATACAGGGAAATATGTATTTCTATTACTATTGGGTTGGGAAAGTGATGCACAGCCTGGGTCATTTGCTCTCCAAGCAAACAGTCTTGGCAAGTCTAGAGACATTGTGATAGTCCCAAATGGGAGAAGGTGATGCTGCTGGCGTCTACTGGTAGAGGCTGGGGCTGCTGCACTGCTGCTTACGGTTTACATGGCAGCTCCCATAGCCAAGAATTGTCCAGCAGCAAATGCCAGTAGTGTCAAGGTGGAAAACCCTGGGTTTGACACTGAAAAGGGTAACATATAATAGCAGATCTTTTATAGACATTTCAAGAAAAACAAGCACTAACTACATGTGAGTTGATTCTCTCACTTCTCTATCTCTCTGTCATTGTCTTTCACTAGTGGCAGACATTGTTCTTAATACTTGGCCGGAAAAAAATTCCTCAATTGCTGAAAAGGCAGGGCATACATAAAGCAGTGAGTATTTATGAATAATTGCTAGAATAAACTATCCAAATGCTATTTTTAAGTGAACTCAAAATATTAATGCAAACTGCTTAAGGACCCAAATCCATAAGATTTCATTTATCATAAATGTTTATCATATGTCTTGTCTGTGCTGGACACTCTGGAAGATAATGAGAGTAAAAAGATGAATAAGATTGCTTCCCTCCCAAACCTCTTAAATAGTTTCTCCTGGGCTTGGATTCCAAGTCTTGCAAGTGAAGCTTACATGGTCCAAGGAGCGCTCACTAATCAGATCAATGGGTACATTTGCCCTTAGGAAACCCCCAGATAAGCTTCTTTAGATTTGTGGTGACTGACATCTTTCAAAACTTTGCCCTCATAACTTCCCAAGGGCTCTTAACAATTATTTTCCTTTTGTGAATTTCCTACAGCACTTTTAATTCACAGCTTCACAGCCCTGTACGAGGTAGGCTCTCTATGTTTTAGGCAGTGGCTTCAAATAATGGTTTGACCTGGTCCTTCAAGTGAAATGCTTCAGCAGTAATCTAACTCAGCTCTAAATTGCTAGGTCAGTGGTTCCAGAATATTCCCATAGAAGGGAAGAAGTTGACAGGGAACTGCTAGACAGAATCAATATTCCTGAGTAAGATAGAGATGAGGACTACCTTGCATTAATCAACATCTGCTCTTTGTCTTCCTTGGCACACAGCTAGACCCCATTTTTCAGAATCCATGCAAGTGGGATTATGCCAATGGAGTGTGGGCAGGAGTAATATCAGGCATGAGCGGTAAAATGTTACAGGAAGGTCCCTTCTCCCTCACCAGACCCTAGGTTTGCCATCTCAATATTCACACGCAGGTATCCTGAGAAGTCCTGTTTTGTGGGGAACAGTGTAGCAACTCAGGTTCCTGCGTGACTGCAGAACTCACACACAACAGCACCACAACCATCATTACTCCTCACCCACTGTCCTTTGAGTGAGGAATAACTTTGTATTAAGCCACTAATTTTTTAGGTTTTATATGTTACAGCTGCTAGCATTATTGGCCATTTTATAAGCTGTTTTGTGCTTGGTTACAAAGAGAGCCATGGAGATGGGGAGAGAAGGTGAATTTTCAAGTGGACCATTCTTTATTCTAATCCTGCTTTGTGTGTTCCTTCATATGTCTTTTCCATTGAAATTTGAAGACCGTTGTCACACAGCCCAAGCCCAGAATTTAAAACCACTCATCTATCAAAGATGAAA